CTCTTATAGAGAGAATTAATTGCTTGATACTATTAGCGTTTGAATAATATTCAAATGCTTGATATGCTTAAACTAATAACGTTTGAATAGCTTATATAAACCAGCCAAATTCGTTTTGATTCTATATAAAAGCAAATAGAATAACAAAGAAAAATTGACTGCCAACAATTGCATTTTGCACGGATGATGATTTTCCGTGTTCTCGCCAGTGAAATACACTTCATCCGTGTTCCAACTTCCCATCTACAAGATCCGAACACGGGTGAAAGTGGACGCGGCCGGGTACAAAACTCTGTCCAAACCGTTCAACCATTCCGCGTAGGGGTAATGGCCCCTTTGGGGTACAAAATTCTATCAAAATAAACAGAAATGCGAATAAATAGACTCTTCTGATCAAGCGCCATGGCTTGCACTGGTTTCCAGCACTTTCCAGTACCTAACGTTTGAACGCTGTTTGAATAAGTTTCAATACTGCTGTCCTTTTATCAGTTGATATTAACGTAGATTATGGTGTAAACGATATTCACTCCTTGGTGGTCGTTTACTGACAGTAAATTACCATGCAATACGATAACCTAAAAACACCCTTAGTGTAAAATAGATTAGATTCTCACGGAGACTTTTTCATCGAAACAATTAAAGCTTCTCTTCATCAGAAAATAAGGAAGAGATATTATGGAAGTATTGTTTAGCAGATCGCCTTAATTCTTTTTTGGCACGCGCGCAAATAATTTTTTCAGAACCTCACTTATTTGTTCCTTTGGAATTTCATAAAAGATTGCTATAATAACCCTTGCCATGACAAGAGCATGGCCATCGTTTGTTCTATAGTGTCTGGGAATTTTTTTAACACTATTGACGCTTGAACAGGCAAAGTGTGGTACTACGAAAACATCAGAGAGTACTCCTTGCTAAGATAAGCTCAATTGCCATGTCACATCCAATAATCTTCAACTGTTTTTTTATGGCCTGTAATATTCCTGTTGCAAGATACGAGGGGGAGTCCCTGACAAGATTGATTTTCCCATCTTGGATCAGGTCCACATTCTCTCGACCATCAATGAAAACGTACAAGCCATGCTTATAGTTTATAGTTTTAATGACGCAATCTTATAAGACAATTTTCTGAAAAGTTCTCAGAGAAAATTGGAATTGACAGCTCCAAAATTCATACTTCACAGTGTCACGCTAGCAGACGAAAAGAACTGTTACTGGAGTAGGATACGTACGATTACGTTCAGATAAACCTTGCAGACATAACTAAATGAATAAAACTTGGACACATCCTGCTTTTTAAAATATTAATAAGGTTTAAATCAGCGAACTTCTTCATGCCAGTGATACTGATCTTTAGACAAGCGTAAGTAAGTAAGTAAGTAAGTTTATTTATTGACGTTGAACACAGAAGAGCTTACGACAAAGCTCATAAGAACGTGCACGTGCTAAATACCAAAAAATATGTTATAACATGTAATAAAATGAATAAAAATCGTAATCTTTACAATTTATGATTTATGACCCATCCCTTCCAACCCGAAAATGCGCAGTAAGAAATCCCCAACAACTATAACTACTATGATGTATAATTCATCATTAATTAACAGTCCCTTCAAACCCAATTTATATATAAAATATGTAATACTGAAGAGATCCCCAACTACTATAACTATTATAATGTTCAATTAAATATCGGTAGCTGTCATCAAACATGCGTGCCGACAGTCTGCCGACGGATACATTATAGACACAGGTTGCTTCACACGCTACATAGTTTAAATTATTTATTATTTGATCAGTGTTTGTCATGGAAAAGCCGGAGTTTTCGTAGATTGTACATTATGAAAAGTAGAACTAATAAGTGAAATGCCCAGAGAGTAGATTTGCAACCGAAACCGAAGGTATCAATAAAACGCAACTTTTTGGTACAGTAGTCACCTAATGTGTTGTGTAAACAAACCGACAACAAGCAAAAATCTGCCAGAGTCTACCA